GAGGGCAGCCGACCCTCGGAGAAGCAATAACCAGGTCCTGGGGCTCTCCCCCGACCCCTCCTCCGCCCGGAGCCAGGAGGGGCTGCAGGAGAGGCAGCACTGCTGCCAGGTGCCACAGCTGCCCTTCACCTGCAGCCTCTCCCCCTCCCTCCCTCTGACTGCCAGGCCTGGGGCCCCCCATGGACCCCTTTGCATAGCCACTGACCTCATGGGGTTTCGCTGCTTATCACCAGGACCATGGAAGGCTGTCTCCCTGCCCCATGACTGCCCTCAGGCCCCTCCTCTGGGGCCCAGCTTTCATCCTGGCGCCTCCCCAGCTCAACAACCTTCCATGGCTCCCCATTGCTTTGCAAACTAAAAACGTATCCTTTAGCTTGCCACGTGCACACACCTTCGTGCCCCGCCTATAACCACCCTTGTTTTCTCCTTTGGGGTCAGTGGTGGCACATGAACCACCCTAGCCCCTTTCCTCTCCCCGCCCTGGGCCCTGCACCCCCTGGCCCACCAGCAACCAGAGCACCGTTGCCTGAAACAGCCCGACTTCCTTCCGCCCCGCAGCACCTCGGTGAGGGAGGCAGGTAGAACCGTGTGCTGGTGACGGAGTGTGGACACGGGAATGGACCGTCTTCCTGAGTGCTCCGGGGTGCTGGGTCTGTCTGTACGGACCCTTCACCCAGGGGTCCCTGCCGGGGCGCGCGCCCAGCGGACTCTCGGGTCCACAAAGAAGGGGGGTCGGTTCACCCTAACTTTATTTGCAAGAGGGAAGAGCCGGCAGCAACCTAAACCCCCATGGGAGTCAACTGTCTTTTCCCAGTGACCACAGGATTTCTCATCCTACAGCCTGACAGTCTACCTACCCAGAGGGGTCCAAGTCCCCTTTCCTTGAGCCCCATGAGGACCAACTGCTCTAGCCAGGAAAGGACAGCCAGGTGACGGGCTGGGTTCCCGGCCAGGTTTCACCCCCGCCTCCCCACTTGTCCTAGGAACCATGTTGAGTCACATGCCACGGCCCCACGTGGGGTCCCTCAGCTCACACCAGCTTGGCTCCAGATAAACGAGTCACCTACCTTCAGCTGAGTCCCCTGCCCTGCATTTGAGTCTTCCAGCTGGAGCCCAGTCTTCACACACAGGGGCCAGACTGTCCCCAAGCCTCCGACTCCATGAGCACACTGATAAGACAGTGGTCCTACACCACTCACTTTGGGGACTGATGCGGCCACACAGCACCTGGACAAGGGTATGTTGGCTGTGGGGTTAGCACACAGTGGGTCAAAGATCACTGCTCTGTTTGCCAGCACGGATGGGTCTCAAATGCACACTTTCAGGTGGGGAAGCGAGAGACAGAGCAGACTTCTGCAGCGGTGGATGGAGGGAGCACCGGGCTGGAGGGCTGAGGACAGGAACTGGGATGACAGATTAAGATATAATTGGAACTCAAAAGTGGACATTCTTTGAATTTATTCCCAAAGAAAAAGTTCATTAAAAATATACCCTGGCCGGTATGGCTCAGCAGTTAGAGCATTGGCCCGTGGACCGGAGAGTCCCGGGTTCGGTTCCCGCTAAGGGCACGTACCTCGGTTGCAGTTTGTCCCCAGCCTCGGTTGGGGTTGTGTGGGTGGCAACCACTCAATGTGTCTCTCTCACGTCGATGCTTCTCTCTCTTCCTCCCTCCCTCTTTCCGGCTCTGTCTGAAGATAAATGCAAAAAATGTCCTCGGGTGAGGATAAGAAAAAAATTAACCAACACAAAATGGGTGTGGCTGTTCCTCGGACTCCCTCCCTCCCTCCCTCAGGTGCACGGAGCTGCATGGCCACCAGCGCTGGCCAGGCAGTGGGGACACAGGAACAACGCACTGTCCAGGTGGGTTGAGCACTGGGGTCTTCTGGGACCCTTTGCTGGGGTTCCAGTGACCACAGCACCTAGAGAGCTGGCATTCGGGACAGTGTGGAAGGACAAGAAGGGACAGAGAAGGGAGGACGGGCACTGTGGCATGGGGTGCGGGGTGCTCTCACAGAGATGGTGACAGCCTGTTGACTCTGAGGCTCCCCTTTTTGCACTGAGTGGCTTTCAGTTTCAGAACCCTGCCCAGTGCCCGCAGTGATGCCAGGAAGCCCCTCAAAGTAGCACCGCCAGCCGGGGCCAGTCTGGAGAGCGGCCTGGCCTCGGAGACTGTGCTGGGTTGAGAACAGGCGCTGCTCTGAGCTGCAGCCCTGTCCGCAAAGCCTAGGGGGTAGTGACCCGAGGGCTCTGCTGCCCATGCCTCGGGAAGGGCCCCTCCCCTCACCAGGACGAGGGCCTGCTCCGATCCGCACGGAGCAGAAGCGAGGCCAGGCCGGCACCTTGGGGCTAATTCACCAACCCGCCTCAGCAGCGACCATCTGCCACCCGCTGCCTGAGTCCCGGGCTCCACCACTTCTGCCACGTGGTCCAGAGAGTCTGGGGCCAGCAGTGCGGGGACCCAAGAGGGGGCGTGCCAGTCACTGCTCCATGCCCAGGACAGGGACTCACCCTCTGAAACCCCCAGAAGGCCAGTGAGAGCAGAGGAAGAGCCCCTCCCCCCATCTCCCACAGCCCCCAGAGGCTGTGGGGAGAAAGGCCAGCTGCGTCCAGACCCCGCTCCCCAAAGCCCAGCACGGACAGGGCGCTTACCAGTGGCCTTCACAGGAGAGGAGACAGGATCAGAAAGGTGGGCCCCCCAGCCCAGGCCGCAGCCCCGGAGCAGAGAGAAGTAGAAGCACTCTGAGGGTGCTCGGATAAATGGGATAGGCCTGTGGGTCCAGAGAAGTGTTGAGGAGCCCCAGCTCATGGGACCGCCCAGGGCACCTTGGTGGAGTAGGATGCTGTCTGGAAGGGCACCCTCTCCACAGCCAGTCCTTTATCCGGCCTTCTTTGGCCTCAGTTTCCCCATCTGTCAGAAGCCCGGGATTAGATGGTGATGACCCAGGTACCAGTACTTCTAGTAATTGGGGAGTTCGTTCCTCCCCCTGGCCGGACCCTCTGGTTGGGAAGCCCCAGGGAGCACACGGGGGGGGGGGGCACCACAACTTCTCAAGACCTCAGCTGGGTGTCCATCTGCAGCGCGGAGGGGGGACCCCAGCTCTGTGTCTGCCGCCACACGGAAGTTACCTCGGTGAGTGTGTCACTGATCCTGTCCGTTGCTCCTGGGGAAGGACGTGGGGGCCAGAGGAGATGGGTCCCGCGTCGGGCCCTGAGTGGGCAGGAAAGCCCCCTCTCACCGAGCTCACCCTCCCTGGCACCACAGGTCCTTCCATGCAGCCGCGGGAGGAAAAGCAGGCAGGCGCGGGGCGGCGGGCGCGGCTGGCTTCTGGAGACGCCGCGGACGCACCGAGACGCGCACAGTCTTGACTCCGCGCCGCAGGCCCGCAGCGTCCCGGCTAAGCCCTGGCCTCCCGGCCTCAGCGCCCACTGCTGCGCTCTCCGGTGCAATGACGGGCGGGCATCGGCGCGGAGAGGGCCCCAGGCTCACACACAGCGACTTCCAGGCCTGCCAGGGCCACTTACCACCTGCGCAACCTCTTCTCGTCCGTCCTCCCCTCAAGAAAATGAGGTGGACGCTCCCTCCGCCTTGGTCGTCCGAGAAATCGAAGCAAGCGGGAAGCCAGGGCCTCCAGCCGCCCTCGGAGAAACGGGCGGCCCTCGGTTGGACAAGGGCCCCTGGCTGGCCCTGGCCGGACCAATCTCTCTCGGCAAGGACCCGCGTCTGGTGAAGCCGGCTCCGCCCGCGGGACCGCGCCGCGACCCGATGGCCCGACTGTCACCCTATGCTGGGGAGTCCGTCCAAAAGGTTACTGCTGAGCAGACACAGCTCCGAGGGTGGCGGCTGGGGAGGGGGCCCACGTTCGTCCCCGCGCTCCCTGCTGCAGAAATGGATGGTAGCTCCCCACGGTTTTTCAGCCAAAGAAGCGGAAGCTCGAAGAGGAACGGGGCCTGCCCCACAAGACTCCGCGGAGGGGCAGCGGCTGTGCCGGAAGCTTCCGGCCGCTTCGAAGGCCCGACTCCCGAGGAGCAGGTCGGCGGGGACTCGCGGGCACTCAGCGTGACTCCAGGCGGGGCGGCGGTGGGGGGGGGGGGCAGCCTTTCTTACACTCGGACACTGAGCCTGGGAACTGAGGGTTCTGTGACACTATATTGGCATTCACGTTTCATGAAGTGCGAATACGAATAAACGCCACAGTTTTGCAGTTCTGACACCCGGGGTCTTAAAAATAATGACTGTGGTCCAGCCTCTTGCGGTTTCTTGGACGCCCGGGGTCTTGACGCCCCCCATACACACGCACGTACATACATACACGCATCCGTGCACACACGCACATACCACTCGCGCGCGCGCACAGTTATTCACGCTCGGTCCAACACTCTCCCCGCGGAGAGGTAATTACGGCCCTTGCAGGATGGTGATTGGCCAGCCTGTTTCTCATCGGGCCTCGCAGCCAATGGGCGGTCGTCCAGCCTAGGTCCCACCTCCCCCACCTTCGGCGCGATGGCGCGGACCCCTGGAATAGATCACGCGGGGCCGGACCCGCCGCGACCCCCCGCCTGGGTCCCCGGCCGCGCGACTGCCTGCGCGCCCGGATTCCGCAGCGCCTCCGGGCAGTGGCCGTTCCTGGGCCCTCTGCGGTGTCCTTGGGCTGAGCTGGCGGCCCGCCCGCGCGCCCCGCCCAGCCCCTGCTGGCCCCTCCTCCTCCGCTCCCCGCCCCCAGCGGGGCTGGCCCGGGCGGCGACCAGAGCGGCGACGTGAAAGGCAGGCTAGGCGGCTGTCCGGCCGGCTGTCGGCGCGCACCCGCTCCCAGTCCAGCCCAGCCCTGCGCAGAGGCCGCCGCCTGGCCGCGGGGCCCGACGCCAGCGCTCCAAGCAGCGGCTCCAGGGTCGGCCGGAGCGTGCACCCGGGAGCAGCGCGCCACTGTCCCCAGCAGGTACCGGGACCGGCCGCGCCCGGGGCGCTCGGGACCCCGGCAGAGCCCGACGGGCCCGGCGCCGCGATGCCGGACGAGCTGACGGAGCCCGGGCGCGCCACGCCGGCCCGTGCCTCCTCCTTCCTCATCGAGAACCTGCTGGCGGCAGAGGCCAAGGGCGCCGGGCGCGCGGCCCAGTGCAGCGGCGGCCGTGAGGACGAGGAGGAGGACGACGACGACCCGGAGGACGAGGACGCGGAGCAGGCGCGGCGGCGGCGGGTGCAGCGACGGAGACAGCTGCGCGTGGGCTCCGGGCCCGGCGGGGAGGCGCGGGCGCGGGCTCTTCTCGGGCCTGGCGCGTTGGGCCTCGGTCCCCGACCGCCCCCCGGCCCCGGGCCGCCCTACACTCTGGGCTGCGGCGGCGCAACGCGCTGGTACCCGCGGGCGCACGGCGGCTACGGAGGCGGCCTCAGTCCCGACAGTGAGTGCAGGCGTGTGGATGGGTGGGCCAGGCGATGGGGCCCGGCTTCTTCCCCGCGCATTTGCTCGGGGGCTTTGGGTTCGTGCGCGCCCTTTTTGGGTCTCCCTTCTTTCGTGTGTGGCGGGGTCTGGGTCTTGTCGAGTCCCGGCAGAGACCCTGGTGGGGCAGGTTTGGAGGTTCACTCTCTGGAACTGGGTGCTCCCACGGGGAGAAGGCTTCCCAGGGGCTGGGTTTCACCCATTGCCAAGCCTTGCAGGTCCCGGGGAGACTGGAGAGCCGCGGGAGGACCTGGGGAGAGAGGACAGCAGACAGCTGAAGAAAGAAAGAAGGGGAAGGGGAATGTGACTGAGAAAGACAGAAGAGACACGAAAAGACAGGAAGCAGAGAGAGGGTGGGAGACACGAAGGGAGGGGTGGAGAAGGAAAGAGAGGGACGTTGGGAGAGCAAAGCAGAGAGAGATGCAGAAAGAGAAACTCAGGGTGCAGGAGAGAAGAAGGGATGCAGTGAGGAGAAAGAGGAAGGAGAACAGAGCAGTCACATGCTGGAAAATACAGGCGTTGAGAAGAGGGAACCAGTGTTCTGGGGGGGGGGGGGCTGGATCCCGGAGGGGAGCAGTCATCCACAATGCTCTGCCCCAAAGTCCCACCTCCTGCAAGAGCAGCACACCAGGCCTGGCCCAGGGGTCTGGGCCTCCCTCTCTGTCCTCCCAGATCCCAAGGGCTTCCATTTGCCAGGCAAGAAGGGGGCCCCTTCTGAAGCCCCCAATCTCACCCCTCCCTTTCTTTTCTACTCCTCCCCCTCTCCTGTCTTTGTTCCCTGCTGAGGGCTTGGAGTGGGGGTTCTCAGCCTCGGAACCCACTCATTCGGAACCCACTCATTCGGAACCCTGAGTTCTCCCCAACCTGAGGGTCGCTGCCTACCTGGGGGACCTGCCCTTTGCAGGGAAACACCTGGGAGACACACCAGGGAGCCATTCCAACCAGGCCCCAGGTTTTACCAGCTCCCCACAACACACGTACACACACTGTGGCCAGCTCCTGTTTCTTTGGGCTCTCCTCCGAAGTCGGGTGAGCTCCTTGGCATGTTGATGTGTGCTGAGGTGGGTGGGCAGAGACCTCTCCCTTCTTGGATAACCCCTTTCCTGGTGTGCGTGTGTGCGTGCGTGTGTGTGTGTGTGTGCGCGCGTGTGTGTGGAACCCAGGTCTCAGAGGCCACGCTTGGAAAGTCTGAGTTTCTCTTGTAAATGGGAGCAGATCTCAGTGGGTTCCCTGAAATCGAATAATCAAATTTAGGGCCTTTCTGGGGGTGTTTCTGAAGAGGATCTTGAAGGGTGAAACCCCTCCCCTCCTGTCACTCCACCAGCACCCCACTCAGCGCCCCCAGAGGTGGCTTGGCCCCTTATTCATGCAATGCGGGTTGGGGTCCCAGTTTACGCAAGAGCTGGCAAGCTGGCATGGCACCTACGCAAAGCCTGGCCATGCGAGTCTGGGCATGTGGGTGCCGTGGGCAGGCAGAGGGTCCCATTTCATGTGGCAGGCATGCCAACCTTGAACCTGATCTCTCTGCAGTAGCCATGAGGGCTTAGCCACAGGGTTGGGCAGGGACACACACATCTGCACACCTCCATGGACACCACCACACAAGCCCACCAGTGCGAACACTTACACTGCGGACACACTGTTACCCAAGTCCACAGCCTTATGGGATCTGCCCAGTCAAACTCCAGTTGGACAGCCAGCCTGGGGACCTTTGCACAGAGGCTCAGGCTCCGTGGAGAGACAGACTGGCCGGAGGTGGCCTGGGGAACCCTGCAGTCAGGCCTCAGGCTCTTCGAGCCAGGCCTGGAATCTGGGTCCTGGACAGATTTTCAGCTGGTGGCACCGTCCTTTGCCAGCCTGGGGCATCTCCTCACCTTTGGGAGGCGAGGTGGAGCTTGGCATTTGGAGCACCAGGTCAGGGGTCTCTGCAGACTTCTGTATCCACAATCCTGTGGGCTGCATGGTCTCCTGTGTTTGGGTGGGATGCAGCAGCTCCGTTTTTCTGCAGAGTCCCGTGTGTGCCTGCGCGCACTCCCTTCCTACGAGCGACTGTCGGGGTTGCTGGGTAGTACTGTGGACATCAGGGTCAGGGGTCAGGAATATGTAGAGGGTGTGTGGGCATCCGGTGTCACCTGGGCACTGGAGTTCTCTTTTGGAGATTGTTTGTATTTGCTTGTCTTCCTTCTGCAGGAATGTTTCTGTACACGCGGGAATCTCACATCTGCTCCCAGCGGGTCGTTATTTCTGCGTCTGTCTCGCGTTTTCCCGCGTGCACAGCACATTCTCTGCGGGATGGCTGCCCTCCCGTGAGGCGGTCTGCAGCGTTTGCGCTTTAATGGTTACAGGAAGCCAGGCGTCTGTGTGTGTATCTGCTGTTTCTCTTTCTGTTCCGTCTCCGGTGTGGATGTGTGGCCCGGGCGTCGGGGTGGTGTAGTTTCTGGAATTCAGGTCCACCTCCTGTTGCTCGGCCTCTCTCCATCCCCCGTGAGATGTGCCCACGACAGTGGTCCAGTGTTCAGGGGCCCGGGCCAGGAATATGTCCCAGCATGTAGCGGTGGGTGACCCCTGGCGTGGTGCGGGAGATGGCCTCCGTGACTGAGTCTGGGGAGCAGTCCGCACAACCAACCCTGTGCCTCTCTCTTCCCTGCAGCCAGCGACCGGGACTCACCCGAGACGGGCGAGGAGATGGGCCGCGCTGAGGGCGCCTGGCCGCGAGGCGCGGGGCCCGCAGCCCTGCAGCGGGAGGCGGCGGAGCTGGCGGCGCGGGGCCCGGTGGCCAGCGCAGAGGAGGCGGCGGAGCTGGCCGAGGCGCCGGCAGCCGGGGAGGCGCGCGGCGGCGCGGCGCTCGGCGGCCGCAAGAAGAAGACGCGCACGGTCTTCTCGCGCAGCCAGGTCTTCCAGCTCGAGTCCACCTTCGACCTGAAGCGCTACCTGAGCAGCGCCGAGCGCGCCGGCCTGGCCGCTTCCCTGCAGCTCACGGAGACGCAGGTCAAGATCTGGTTCCAGAACCGCCGCAACAAGTGGAAGCGGCAGCTGGCGGCCGAGCTGGAGGCGGCCAGCCTGTCGCCCCCGGGCGCGCAGCGCCTCGTGCGGGTGCCGGTGCTCTACCACGAAAGCCCCTCCGCCGCCGCCGCCCGGCCGCCCGCCGCACTGCCCTTCCCGCTGGCGCCCACCGCGCCCGCGCCGCCCCCGCCACTGCTCGGCTTCTCCGGGGCCCTGGCCTACCCCCTGGCCGCCTTCCCGGCCGCCGCCTCCGTGCCCTTTCTGCGGGCGCAGATGCCCGGCCTGGTGTGAGCCCCATGCGCTGGCGCACTCCCCGCGCCGCTAGGAGCTCTGGGGAAGCCCGGCCGGCACCGGCGCGCAGGGCCGTCCAGGAGGGCTGTGCGCTCCCCCGCCGCCCTGGGCCTCGGGCGTGCACGCTTCGGCCTGGTGGGCGGAGGCTCTGTCCCCAGCTCCCCAGAATGTACCAGGGACGTGGCTCCCCAAACAGTGGCAAGGCTGGAACTCCTCCTTCCCCCAAGGGAAGAGGGCGTCGCAGAGAGACTGGCCCTGTTCGCAGAGTACCCCAAACAAGCCTGTGCCTGGAAGTCCGTTTAGCCACCCCCTGGGGAGCCAGCCCCTGCCAGCCCCAAGCAAAGACAGACACACAGGCTGTCCAAGGAGCTCCGGAGGTCCCTCCCCAACCCACGGTCCCTCCCCGGCACCACTCAGGGACCAGGTTGGGAGGGCCACCTGAGGACTGGTCAGCCTCAGGCCTCGGCAGTGGATGGGTCGGCAGAGAGAGAACCTCAGGAAGAGAGACCCTGCGGAGGGGAAGGGTGAAGACCCAGACACACCAGACAGGTGACACTTCTCACATCTCAGGTCGTCCGTTCGGATGACAGGGCCAGACTGGGGCTTCTTTCCTGGGCTGTGTCTCCTGGGCTGTGGCCTCCAGAGGCGAAGACTTTTTTTTTTTTTTTTTTAATGAATCTGCTTATTTGCGTATGGAATAAAAAGGGACATTTTCTGGACAGTTTCGGCTGCTTTGTGGTCACTGGGGCGGGCAATCCTCTGGTAGCTCCTTCCTGGAGCACTTTCTAATGCTGAGCAGGGACCGCTAGGGCCGGCTGGCAGGAGTCTGAGGTCTGGGGCTGTGCTGACTCCTCTTCCCCCTAAGGAGGCCCAGCAGGGCCACGGAAGAAGTGGGGCAGGGGAGGGAGCTGCGGAGGAAGAGGGGGCACAGAGTGTGTGCCAGTATCTTACGTTCTGGGCTCTCCTTGGAAACCAACAGCCACCAGGCAGGTTAAGGCAGAAACTGTCCTTTGGCGCAGGGGGCCGTGTGGCACCCCGTGTCCACTGTCCCCTCCTGCACTGGAGTTGAAAGCCATCTCCAACTGCATGGGTGTTTTCTTTAGGCCGACACAAAACCCGAGCTGGCAGCAAGGCCAGGTGATTGCCGCTGAGCTCCTCCCTGGGCGGTGTGGGGTGGCTGCCCCTCCGCTGCGGGACTTGGACGGTGGGCGCAGTCCCAGCTCAGGGCCCACGTTGATGGGCTCCTAAGGAAAGCTTATTCCGATGGTCTGGGTCACCGCGGCCACCCTGCCTCCACCAGCCCTGGCCAGCATGGTGTAGGGTGCAGACAGGGCCCCTGCACTGCAAGGGACACTTGATTGTGTCTGCTTCTCCAGCCTGGGGACAGAGGCCATTCAGGATTGAAAGGGTCACTACGGTGACAGAACTGAGCCCCCTTGAAAACCTTGCCTGGGCTTTGGGGTGGGAACAGACACTCCCGGGCCGAGATGCTCAGCAGCCGGTCACTCTGGTCACTCTGGGTCTCCAGCAGTTCTCAGCGTAGGCGCCAGACGGCTCAGGAGAAAGCGCCACAGGGGTCTCCCTGCAGGGCAGCCGGTTGGTCCATCTGTCTGTCTGCCCCTGCAGTCCAGCTCTCTGACCTGGAAGGGTGCCCGGGGCCAGGCTCCGGCAGGCTCCAGTGGGGCTTCCCAGGTGGCACAGCCCTCGACCCGGGTTGTCCTGGCACCTCTGGGCCCTGAGATCCCCACCTCCGGGCTCCCAGAGCCTGATGCAGGACTGGGGTGAGCAATTAAAGGGTTATGGGGCCCATCCTCCAGCCCAGCCCCACCCCATTGGTGTGGTTGAGCTCCAGCTTCCCCCCTCCCAGTCCACCCGCAGCCCTTCCAAGCTCAGGCTGGCTCTCCTGCGGGGGGCTGGGGGAAGCTACCCCACATGGCAGCTGCTAAGACCCGTTTGACAGTCTAGAAGGGACTTAGGATCTGCTTCAACGGAACAAGTTTGCTGCTGGTTATTTTCGAAGGCCTCGCGCCAGGTCAGCGAGGTGCCAGGGAGGCTCCACCTGGCCACTCCCAGGGCAGCACCAGGCCCACTCTAGGCCGCCACACCTGGCTCCACCTGGGACCCTGTGCTCTGCCGCTTTTGTAAGTGGCCTCCTGCAGTCATCGGACACATCCAGTGGCCATCCTCCTGAAGACGCAGCCACCAGCCACCGTGCAGCTCCCTGCTCGAGACCCCGACCCCTGCAGGCCCTGCCCACTGCTTCCACCCTCTCCCTGCCTCCTTCCAAGCCAGGCCCGCAGCCCAGCCGGTGGCTCGCACTCTGCACGCACAGCAGCAATGACATCGAGGAATGCTGAGGTCACCAGGGTCGCTTGGACCATGAACAGGATCACTAAAACCCTGGTTTAAAGGGGTCACCACTGCAATGCAACCATTTTATTTGTCTGTGGCCGATGTGGGTGCAGCCCCAAGGTGATGTGGTGACTGCAGCGTGTGCTGATGGAAGTGTGGTGCCCAGGTCCCCCCCACCTCAGGCGGGTCTCCCTCAGTGGCCAGCCGGTGAGTCTGCACCAACCAGTGGTCCAGGAAGGCGAACCTTGAGGCCCAGGGAGCCACGCTGCCCCAGGCCTGCGGGCGCCGTGTCTGGGTGTTTCACTCCCCTCCGAGAGCGGAGAGGCTGGCCCCTGGTGTCAGCGGGAAGAAGGGTCTGCATGGCCGTGAATGCGGGTGGATTTGGGGAGAAGGGCTGAGTCTTCTGGATGGGTCAGTGAACGCTTGGGCTGGTGCGCGCCTGCCCAGCTGCGGGGAGCGGGGAAGAGGAGGCTGTTCCCCTGCGCGGAGTCTGGGTCTTGCCTCCTGAGCTAGGGGCCCCACACTGGAGTACAGAACTCGGGGCTCAGGGAATGGGCTCTGCCCCTGATTACCCAGCATTCCGGGTCTCCTGGGAGGGGAAACACCCCGCGAGGAGCTACGGTTATAGGCAGGACCAGGCCGGGGACCTCAGGGCACCAAGCTCCAGCACCATGATCTCCGCACCCAGGCTCCTCCGCTCCACTCCTGGCAGAGATGGACAGCTTAGACCTGCTGCCGCAAGCCCGCCCGCCCCCCCCACGCAGCCCGCCCGCCCTTCAGCGAGGCCCAATTCAGCCACCTACAGCCCCCCAGGGTTTCGGGTCCCAGAGGCCCTGAGCCCAGGAAGATCTAACAGGGTTTGGACACCTGGGCAGCCACCTCGGTCCAGGCCCAGCCACACTCACCCAGTGACCTGGAGCAAGACTTCTCCGGGCCTCAGTTTCTCCATCAGACCTGTGTTGAGGATGGGGGTCTGTAACCTGGACAGGCTCAGCCACACTCACCCAGTGACCTGGAGCAAGACTTCTCCGGGCCTCAGTTTCTCCATCACAGACCTGTGTTGAGGATGGGGGTCTGTAACCTGGACAGGCTCAGCCTTCCCTGATCAGCTGGAGGCTGACAAGGTACCCAGGCCAGCGCCATAGCGACACCCCTCCCCAGGCTAGTCTAGGGCCCACACCAGTGTGGAACTAGGGGGGCTGGGGGAGTGACCCAACCCACCTGGCCTCTATGTCCCCTGCCTGGGTAGGACAAGAGCTGCATCCTCGCTATAGCCTTCTGGAGAAGAAATTGGAGGGTCAGCCCCCCCCCCCCCCCCCGAGAGTTTGTCCCTTGAGACCTCTGGAGGTGAGTCTTGGGAAGGGCCACTAAGGGGGTCTGAGGGCTCTGGCCCCTCCGTAGGTCAAGGGAAAGTGTGGAGTTGCAATCTGGCAACAAACCACAGGTCTCGGTTCATGCCCCGCGCAGAACTGGACCAATTCCATCATCCCCAGGTGGTTGTCCCCACACCGGCCCTGGGAACTGCCCTTCCAGTGGGCGGCTCCCCACCCCATCCACTCTCTGCACCTCTCTGCACCCAGGGAGCCCTGGCCTGTACTCCGCCCACCCCACCCGGAGCCTCCTGCCACGGACCCCAGTCAGATCAGAGTGTCGCGGGCCCTTCGAACTAGCTGAGGGGGAGGGGCAGTCGGTGGCTTCGGACCTTCTCCCTGCAGGCCTGGCCTGGGGAGGTTTCCTAAAGCCTGGCCTCGGAGCTTCCCCAGGAGGCGACCTGCCTAGAGGGACACTAAGGGGCTGGGAGCCCGGCAGGTGGCAGGTGGGCAGAGAGGGAGGCGGAGAGGCTGGGGGGGCTTCCCTCTTTCTTGCATCTGTAGGTCTCTCTCCCGAGCATCCTTCATGGCCTTCTGGCCCATCTGGCAATCCTTGGAAAGGGAAACTGAGGCTTCGAGAGGGGCAGAGCCTCTGGGGAGGGACTCTGCGTGAAGTCACTGGGCCCCCGAGGTCCTTCAACTGCCTTTCCTCCATCTGGTACTAGGGAGGTCAGCCACCCCTCCCCGGGGGCGACCCTGCACTGGAGCCAGACCCTGCACGTCAGGCTGTGTCCCGGTGTCCATTCCTGCCAGATGGAAGCATCTGGATGGCCCCCTGTGGCCACCCTCCCCTCTGGTGGCCAGTGCAGGCTTCCACGTGGCTGCCTGCCTGTGGAGGGGTCCTTCTGGAAGTGGGGTCCGTCCTCTCGAAATCGAACCTGGAGCTTCTCCTGGACCCTGTGCTTTAAGCCGTCCAGAGGCTCAGCCGTAGCTGGCTGCACAGCCCCACTGCCTTCTGGGAAGAGGAAGAGGACACCCCCTGGCAGGTGGACTGGAAACAGGGCCACTCAGTCTTGTGCTGAGCTCTGAACCCGGATCCGACATGAGGGGCGAAGGTGCCGAGAGAAAACCCAGAACCGGATGGGGTCCGGGCTTTAAGCCTGGAGACCCAGCGGCTGAGCTCCTGAAGCGACGGGCCCTCTGATTTTGTGATTTTTCAGAAAAATTATTAAAGTGATAGTCTATATTATTACAGTCGGGTTGAAACAGACACAAGTTGCCTGCATTCCTGCTATCAAAAAGGCAACTGCTTCTGAGTGAGACCAGGCTGTGGGTCTACTGGGAGGCGACTGATTAATTTTTAAAATTCTTATCAGTTAAAGACACACACTTATTTATTGGTGCAATGATATGATGCCTGTGTTGGCTTGAAAGTACCTCAACAAAAATAAACAAATTAAGGAAATACCGATGAGGAGAAGGTGAAGTGGGGTGAAGCGGGGTGAAGCCGGCTGGCCAGCCGTGGTGCTGGAGTGGGGGTGGTGAGCACAGGGGCTTATCAAGGATTCCTCTGCTTCTTAGAAAACTTCCACAGTAAACATGATTTTAAGAGTCACCAGAAGCGCCCTGGCGTTCCTGGCTGCCCACTGGCTCTGCCAGCGGTTTCCTTGAATGTTTGATTTCACCCCGTGGGGGTCTGACCTTGGTCCAGCTGACAATCTGCTTTCGTTGGTGTGTTGTTTTCCTGCGTGCTCCGAACGTACACATTGAAACCAACTAATTCTGTCTCTGCAGGCAAGTTTCAGTCTGGAACCTTCCTCTTCCTCCAGGAAGCTTCCCTGCCCCATCCCGCTCTCCCCCGTCCAGGGGCCCCTCTGGCTCCCCCTCGCGCAGCAAGGCCCCCGCGATCGCCTCCGGGGAGGTCTCTGAAACCTGCGGGAACCGATCGGGGCTGCGGGGTCCTGGCGTCACCTCCCGGCCCCAGCACT